TAAGCACCCAGCTGGCGCTTGGCTCCCTCGGATCTCATCGCACGGCTCAACTCCGGGCTCAGAAAGCGGAAGTATTTGGTAGAGAAAAACACGGTTTCTTTTCAGCCCGTCTCAAAACCCCTTTTAGAGAAAATGCTCCTGTCAAGTTTTATTTCCCGTTGCAAACCACCTTCCACGCTGCCAAGAATTAAGACCAGGAGAGATTAAATACCCGATTATTCTCTTGGGGAGGGAGGGGCGGGGCGGAGAAGGGGGCACCCGCACAAAACATTCATTTGAATCGGCTTGTCCTCATCAAATAGCTAAATACAGAGCTCCGCTGGGCCAGCTTGGCCTGCAGTGACGTCAGCGAGCAGCTTTGGGGAGACTCACCGAGCGAGCGGGTCCCCGGCCCTCCAAAGTCCAGCGGGCCTCGGGTTCCACTGTCCAGATCTCTGCCTCGGTTCCTGCGGCGCGTCTCTGGCTCGCCCTAGAGCCGTCGGAGTAAAGGAGGTTCAGTAAGGGTTGGAGCCTCCATTTTGAGGAGGGGGTTCATGTGGAAGCGTGGAGAACTTGGGGCCTCTGTCCCGACGGGTACAACACCACCAGGCCACTCTCTTGAGTCCACAGCGGGGCTTCTCCCACTTGTCCACACCCCTGCACTGGAGGAGGCCTCGTGCGGCCACACAACCTCTACTAAAGGTTTGAAAACCTGACACCCGTTGTAATGATTTCTGCCGGGTGGATCCAGCTCTCAGCCGCGCGATAGAGCCCTTCAGAAATAAAATCAACTGTGGCAAGGCCCTGGCGGCTTTCACCGAGGAATTTTTCTGTACCAGCGTCTTTTTTTCTTTAAAATAAAATTTAAAATAGCAAGTATCTCTCAGGCATTCGTCGGTGCTGGCTAGATGCGTGAGGATTGAGTGGATATTTTCATAAAGAAGGCAACTGGCTCTTATTTACCGCGCGACTGAGCAGATAAAAACTGAATTAGCATGCCTGTCTTAAAACCTAGGAATAAATCTCCCCAGGCCTTTCGGATAAGGCTACATCTTTGCTTATGAAAAATGGGACGCGAGCAACTCGCTGCACATTTCTCTGATTCTGCAGGTCTTGGGCTGTTGACACGCATTCGATCAAGTTTAAAGGAATGCCCATAAATCAGAAACCGCTAGCGTCTCCAGCGTCTCCTTCGTAGAGGTCCGGGAGTCCAGAAGGGCGCCTCTGAACCAAAAGGGTCTAGGGATTAGTAGTCCTGGGCAACCTCTGTCTCCATTCCTGAACTGGGGAATTCGCAGAGGAAGAGAGATGCCGCATCCCCACCCAACCGTCCAAACACACACAACAGAGTAATCTGCACATATCTGTTATATGGTGAAATTTGGTCGTTAAGTACTGGCACACAAATGTATCACTGTCAGCTGAATTTCACTGCCTTATGGTGAATTTCTATGAAACTATTTCAATTAAATTGAATTTTAAAAAAGAACAATTTTCCTTTACTCCTTAATTTTTTTCTTTCCTTTACTATTACAAGAACAATTTAATTGGATGGCTTCAGTTCTGCATCAGACATAAATTGTGGTGAAACACCCTGGGACATTTTATAATCATCCACTTAGAATAACTTAATAAATTTGATGATATGAAGAGCATATCGGAAAACTAAGGTGTTTTTTTTAAAGTCTCATATTTATAATTTTTTATTCAGTAAGAATTTTCTTTTTAGAAACAAATACTTGGATCAGGTTTTCATTAATACCATCTATGGGTCAGTGTCTGACATTATTATTCCTATGTTGCAAAAGGAGGCTGGTGTCCTCCTGGTTGTCTTTGTTCTAAAGGTCTTAGGCTGAGTGCTATTTAGGCATTAAGGAGCCATCAAAATCCATGCCCACCTAAGCTTATCTGGTAGATTCATGAATATTTTAAATAAGAAGGAAGTTAGGTAAGATTAACACTATAAATAACCATTTTAGAAGGGGGACCCATTCTGACATATCTTCTGTCATTACAGTTTCAAAAAATGGACAAAGAAAAAGAAGGGTACTACTTTACCCAGGGTTCCTGCAGTGGTGGTGGCTTTTGAAAGGGGCAGTATTCCGGCTGAGGAGATGTTGTTGGCCTCTTTCCTAGGCCTGAGGCTCAAAATATTCCTTACATCTAAGGAAAAATATCCTCCATCAACAGGAGAGCCCCCTTTGGAGCTGTTCATAAGAACACTGTTTGATCCAGCTTTGAGGGGATTTTCCACCACTTTAAACATTTTGGGAGAAAGTCATTACTTTGGCTTGATTGTAGCTCATTAAGAAATGGAATTGTGGAACAAGACGTGAGGAGGTGGATCTGCAGCAGCATTTTCATTTGTTTCCACAAGTGGAGTGAAAATCCTCCGGGCAGCCAAATACGATTGCACTTCATGAGACCATTCAATATATGTTTCAGAACCATCCTTTTTTTTTTCTTTAAAACTTTCAGATTCTTTCCATAACTTCATTTCTAAAGCTTTCAGTCTTCAGGAAAGGTAATAGAGGTTTACAGCAGCCATGTTTGTAATCAACCAATATCATTTTCCATCATTATGAATCTGATTCTTCCACTCACTATTACTCTCCTCTAACATAAAGGTAAACTTAATCAGCATCTGAAAATTTTGCATCCCAAGACTACTGGTTCCACCAACGTTTCAATATATGTGTAGATTTGACAAAAATTAACTTATGTGTATATTAAATATATAAACATACATATGTATTATTTATGACTCTGAACACAGCACTTGATGTGTAATTAGGGGTCAATAAACAGTAGATATAATGCTATAATAATATTATTATTATAGTTTTGATGGTGGTTGTTAATATTAAACATATTTATTTCTCCCACAAATCAAATGGAAGATTTGTAAGCATCAATATAAGATTGCACACCACCCTGGAGCAGCACTCAGCTCTGAGCTATTCAGGATAACTCTTCTTCTGCCTCCATATTATGGTCATTTTGTAGATATGAGATATTTATAAGATCTCTTTAATGACCTCTTGAGAGGTGGATTTCTTTGAATTTCTGAAATGTAACTCTAGAACTCTAGAGTTAGCAAGGCATTCGAAACTTTTTATTTGCCGTAAAGACTCCCCAATAGCTCTAATTAGGGTGGGAGACCACCTTGGAGGGCGAGGGCCAGGAAAGAAAATGGTTATTTAAGAACACCTCTTGAACTGTAACAAAAATGTACAGCTTTAAAATGGATTTTCAGAAATCTGATTGAGCTGCTGTGAAGACAAATCAAACTTGGCCATTAAAAAAAAAATGAACAAAACTTCATCATGTAACAAACATTTTGTACCTGAACTCTAGAAATCACTTTAAGTTACATTGTCTTGGGTCATCAGCAATTAATGTTATTATATCTGTACAGATTCTACAATTATATATACAAGCACACACAAGCACTGATATGCAAATGTATACATGTATACACACATATGATATATTCACATATATACAGGCACATGTATAATTTACATATATTCAAATTTACTCCATCTGAAGCCAAATGAATGAGTGTTAAATCTCTAAAACAACAAGTCAAGGAGGTAAGAGGTTTTGATTTCCTTAAAGTTGAAGAATTACAAGAAGGCTTGTCAACACGAGGTGGCGCCCTTGATCTACTAATCCAACCTAGGCCAATTCATGAGCTGTCAAAAGTCAAGGTCACAAATTGTCTTTTTTTGTCAAGGTCAAGGTTTAAGGCCTTACCTAGTCCTGTCATTTCAAAAAATATCAAAACCTGCCCTTTCAGACACATTCAAATCCAAGAGCAGATTTTAAAATACGATAGCCTAGGCACTGCTGGTACAAAACAACTGGTTTTCATTTTCCACAGGGAACTTGGGAATTTGTACTATCTCTTCCTCCTTTCTCTTCTATCCTTTTCAGAATAAGTAATACTTTCATCTCCTTGAACACTTAGGATTTTGGCTAAGAGGAATTTTCCTCTTTTCTTAAAAAATTTGAAGCAAAAAAAAAAAAAAAAAAAAAAGCTGAATTAATAGACATGAATGGTCCTTGGCTTGTATGATACAAACCTTTCCCTTTTCTTTCGGTGAAGTGCGCATTTAGCACAGGAAAGTAATGAGTTTTTCCTTCAGGTTTTAATGGCAGTGACTATTTTATTAACAGAATCAATACCACTATATTACTATGTACAAGTCTAATTTTTTAGTAGAAATATTTAAAAAGCAGGTGCACAAATACATTTTTTCACAGTGTGCTGAATGTCTTTATTTACAAGATAGCATTTTATAGTGAATATGAACAAACCGAATGTGCTGGTTGAAATAACTGCTTGGTTTAAAATGTGCAGTGAAGACGAATCCCTAAACTTTCTAATGAAGTCTCATAACACAATAAACAAGGAAAATACTAACACCTTAATAGATCAAAATACAAAATATTTAGCCATCTAAATATTTCAGGGGAATGGATTTCCATTCAGAGTTTTCTAAAAATAAAAAAAAATGATTTATCCAGCAAAACGTTTAGAAAATATTGGAAAATGCCAATTAAAAAATTTTTTAAAAGGAATTGCATTCAAACTGAAGTCCTTCATGTTTGGGTAGGACTTTCTGGGAGATCTAACATAATGTCAACCCTGCGGATCATCTGGTAATTTAAACATTTAAAAAGTACTCAATTCTTTGGAAAATCTCTAATATTGTGGTAGTCCAATCACAAATATGCTTGCTATTATTAGAAGGACATTACCAACCTGGTGTTTCTTTCTAGCCTCAAAGGATTAAAGGCTGTATTTACTATCAAGACAAATGATCCTCGGAAGAGTTTTCTCTCCTTTCTCCCTTCATAATAAAAATTAAAGACCATTATTTCAGTACCTTCTCTTTTTTGCTTTAAACCTATATATGAAACATTTTTCAGAACATACAATGGTAGGAATTTCACTAAGATTTACCTGAGCAGGCACTTAACATGCAAAGGGAATGGCGACCTAAGAAGAACAATCAGATGTTTACAACAGACTCTTGCTTTTGTAACCAACTTTCAAATCATTACCATCTAACACAGTGTCCTAAAATATAACGGTCACATAAATACTTACAAGATTTTAGTAAGTGCGTAACTTATCTGAAATTTCGTATTTAGGGGTTGACGTTTGACTCTAGAATTTGTCATTTAACGGTCTGTTGGCGGGAGAACTGTCAGTCTTTACCATCTTAAAAAGTTTTTAAAAAGTTGTAGATTCCATTAAAAAGAAATTCCCACTTAAGACAGCAAAATGCCAGTGTCTCTCTTTCCAATTCTTCGATTATTATTAAGCATTATTACCATCAGCTGGGCAAAAACAATCAGTTCTGAAGCATTTCTTCAAGTTGCCCTGTGCTCCACTTTTTAATCCATTAACTAGTGGTCTTCAATTTATTGATGACTTTTTTCTCTTTGACCCTCCTGTTCTGGAACCAGATTGTAACCTGCCGCTCGGAGAGGTTCGTCGTGGCTGATATCCTCCTCCGTTTGTCCTTAGTTATGAATTTGTTCGTGGCGTATTCCCGTTCGAGTTCTTTTAATTGCACCTTAGTATAAGGCACGCGCTTCTTTCTCCCCCTCCTATAGGAGCTGGCATCCGAGGGATGGGAGACCACGTCTGGAATACAGGGGAGAAGGCAAGTTACACAAGGATCAGACCTGGGACAGACACAGAAGACACCTCGATCTGAGCCACCCTCCTTGCAGTGCCCGGCTGCGCTTTGCCACGAGCTGTACAATCCGGCCTTACGCCAAAGCCTGGGGGTTAGCCGGGAGGATGGTTAGTTTTGCACTGAAATGAAATCTCCCAAAGCTCCAGTGACCATCCCAACGGGGTTATCCTGCACACGCAGAGCGTGTTTTCCCTCAATAGCTTAGCCTAGCGGCCCACACCTTAGCGCCCGACTCAGAGTAACAACACTCATGTGCCTGGTTCCTCTCACTTTGCTCTGAGTCCCAGCACTCAATGCTTCTACAAGTAAGGTTACTCCTCCGATAAGGAACAGTGGCAATTTGATGAACCCAATATCAGGTCAATTTCTGATCCTTAAGTTCTTGTCAAGGGCTGGAGAGGGCGGGGCGCAGAGGGAGAAGGAAGGTAGCCAGGGTCCCCACAAGTTCCCTCCCAGCACCCCTTACCCAAGCAGGGCCAGTTCAACTTAGGGCGGTGCGGACAGCGCCAGTCAGCCGGGGTCAGTCTCCCAGGGGGTGCAGCGCCGCGAGGGCAGGCCAAGGAAAGATCAAGAGGGGCACCCGGGTGACCCCGGGCATGAACTGAGGAGAATCTAGAGCAGAGCCGGAAGACCGGGGTTGCAAAGGGGGCGCCATTTACCGGGCAGTGTGGATTTCCAGAGGTGGGGAGGCTGCGCCTGCTCTTTGGGGCAGTACATTTGGCCGTTCCAGCCGTTGGGCAGCGCCCAGGGCTGGTAGCTTTCCATGGGAAGACCCAGGGGCTCGTGGCGCGATTCGCCGGGGCCCCCGAGACCCGGCACCACCGGCATATCCAGGTAGCCAGGCACGGGCTGATGGTGGTGGTAAGGCCCGGCTGCGTAGCCCTGGTGGTAGAAGGCGAACTCCTTAGCGCGGGAGCTGAACTCCTCGGCCGCGGGGCCGGCAGTATCCATGTACTTGTCCGCGAAGGCAGCGGCGGCGGCGGAGGCGGGCTGCGCACACGACTTGATGGCGTTGGGGTGCGGGCCCATGCGGGCGCACGGGTAGTAGCTGCTGCCGAAATAGCCATAGGGCAGCGCCGCTGGCCCCGACGAGCTCTGCGCCGCCGCCGAGCAGGGGCTGCATTGCTTGGCGGCCTCGGCACCCGCCGGGCCCGCCGGGCCCGGCCCTCCCGAGGACGACGCGGCGGCTGCGGCTGCGGCGGCCGCGGCGGCGGCGGCAGCGGCAGCGGCGGCCGACGGGGGCGCCTCCCCCGGCGCGCTGCTATAGGCGGCCGCGGCGCCGGGCGCCAGGGGCGCGGGGTGCGCCATCAGATTGCGGCATTGGTTGGCCGCGGCCGCCGCGGCTGCCGCGGCCGCCGCCGCCACCGAAAAGTTGCCCCCCGCGGCCGCAGCCGCAGGGTGGGGGAAGCCCCCGCCCCCGGCCCCGGCCGCCGCTGCCGCTGCCGCCGCCGCTGCCGCCGCCGCCGCCCCTTCCATGTTCTTGTTGAGCTCGTCGGCCACCAGGCCGCCGCCGTTGTCGTAGAGAAACATGACGGTGGGCTCGATCCAGCGGGGGTGGAGGAGCACGGAGGCTGTCATAGCCCGAGCCGCATGGAGAAGACCCCAGTGGCGCTGTTTTAAAAAGCCCCCAAGAAGTGAAGAGCGCGCGGCGCGGGACCGGGGCCCGAGCTAGGGGGGCGGATCGCGCCCCGCGGGGTCGCGCCAGGCGGCCGCCCATTGGCCCGCCCCCCCCCCCGCTCCGCCCACGGCGTATGCAAAGCGGGCGGCTCCAGACCCAGCTCGGCTCTGTGCACCCGCGGTCCCCGCCGCCGCCCGCGCGGTCACCAGCGCCAGCACTAGCACTAGCACTAGCTGTGCGGCCGCGCCGCGTACACCCAGGGGAGAGGAGGGGGACGCAGGCGGGTGGGGTATAGAAAACCCGGCGGGTGGGACAGGAAGGGAAGGGCGTGACTTTCGCATCCCCCCTTCCCTTCCCTTATCCCAGTGAGGACCAGCTCAGCGCAAGAGTCGGGGAGGGGACGTGGGCAAGCAGTTGGGTTGCGACCTGAGGCCGTGGGGACTGGTCAGGTAAATCCAGCAATGACCAGGGATGAGAGACTGGGGAGGATGGGATCAGCCCAGCTCAGGCTGGGTATTTCTTGGGGCCTTTGGGAGGTTCTCTTTCTAGGTATCTTTAAGCAGGGAGACCCTAGGTCTACTGTGCGAATTTTGGCTTCGACAATGTCACATTCTCAATTTGGCTCTCTTTCCAGGGGAACAGGGACAGGGCGTTTGCTGCTTGTTGGTTGTTTCAGAAAGGCCTGGCTCATGGATCCCAGGACATTCCACTGGAAAACTTGGACTGCATTTAGGAGCTCCCTTCCCTTCCTTGTACCTATGTCAGTGGGCAATTTTATACACTTACATTTAGGCCCATAGACTCTGAACAACTTATGATACCCTACAGTGACACACACACACACACACACACAAACACACACACATGCACACAGTCGCCTTCACACACTTAGGAATATAGTCTGTTTCTCACTCTGACCCAGTAAAATTCTTCCTCCTTCTTCAGAGACAGAGATGGAAAGAGCAACATTCACCGTGCTCCTGTCCCACCAGTTCTGCTGGCTTCTCCTAGAAGGGGCTTTGGAGGAACAGGCTCCAGCTGGGCTGTTGACTGGAACTCCAGCCTCAGATCTGGGGCCTCAGCAATCTGTTGCATAGAGCCTGGGGTGGACCTGACTTTTGGCATCTGGGATCCCACAATTTCATTCTGTTTGGGAAGAGAAAGGGGTTGCTTCAATGCCTTCCCCACCAAGTTGGTGCGCCAACCTGCAGAGGGTGCCCAGTGCCCAAGAACTAACCTAGAAGTCTTTCCTTTGTGCCTAGGAAATGCAACCCTTTCCTGGGAGCATGGTGGATGTTGGTATTGGCAGAGCAAAGCAACTACCCCTCTTGGAGTCATCATGTTTTAGTGAGGGATTTTGAAGATCCTGCCACTTTGGGGCCAAATACTTCCACTTCTGATTTTGTGACTGTGAACTGGTCAGTTGTCCATAAAGGGAACAGGCATTCAAAATGAAAGTGGGCACATTCGGGACCATGCAAGCCGTGGAGAGTACTGGACTCCCTTCCTTCTCAGGCTACTGGTGAGCAGCCAGGCTTGGACCTGCTCTTTGGTCCCAGCTTGCAGATTCATCCCTAAACTCAGGGCACTGCATGTACCACCCCACTGCTTTGCTCTTCAAGCACCCTGGGCTTCCTGCATGGTCCAGACTGATGAAGCTGGCTTAGGATTTTATCTGCCCAGATTCCAAGCTTGCCCTGACCAATGTAAATGTCGCCCCATAAAACCTTCTCTTACACCCCCCAGCCCTCCCCTCTCCCCCACCCAGTGCTTCCTTTCCCTCTTGACTTTTTAGCAGTTCTGGGTAAATATTGATTTGCCCCCAGTTTACCTTCTCCGTGACTGGTCATTTGCAAACTAAGGAACCAGACTCTGTAAAGATTTGATTTTTGTGTTACTTTCCGGCCCTTTCCTCATCCCCCACCCCCTTCCTCTCTCCAAGTGGCATTGTAAAACTCACGGTGACAAAGAAAAAGAGTAGGGTTCGAGGCCCCAGTTCCTAGGGACTTGAGGGCGGTTTTACATACGGGTCAGACACGGCTGGAGGCCAAGGTCAAGTTGAAAGTTATAGTCTAGTCAGCGTGAGAAAACTGCCTCGCAAACTTGGAGACTAAGGCGGCTGCAAAAGGCCCACCGCTCATCTCCCCTCATTCTTAATTCCCTTTTACTCCGGAATTCTAGTTTTTGGCTCTGTTTGGCTACCCAGCATTTTTTTTTTTTTTTTCCTGCCTTCGTAGAGTTTTTGGGGCGGTGTTTACGGACTCTTCTTCTCTGCCTCCGCCCTGCTCTTGGCTAGGGTTTCGTAGTCTATTCTGTTTTCCAGCCAGACCCAGAAAAACGAAAACACTGCTTGGGAAGCCCCCCTCAGCCGGCGCCTGTGCCAGCTCACCTCTGGCCGTGGCGCGGTTGCTGGTGCACGCGGCGGCTAAGGCCAGCTCTACATTCTTCCCTCCCCCGCCCACTTCACCGGAGCCGGGAGCCCAGCGAACAGAGGAAGGGCCTCAGCCCCAGACTGCCAAAGTCGACTGGGTCCCTCCACACCAAAAATGGTGAGACAAGATTTCATCTTGTCCTCTGAGGAGCCACAAGCAGGTTTGTCTGGGAGCGATAGCGCCTGGTGGGGCAGGGAGGAAGGCTTTGGGTCGCTTCTCAAATTCATTCTGCTTTGCTTTCCACACTTGGCACCCCCTCCAAGCAAGGGCCTGGGGCTAGAATTATTGAGATTTATGTCTCCCTATCAATTTAAAAAAAAATTCTCAAGATATGGTTTCTTAGAGGGAGGCAGCCTGCTTGTCCCTTCTTGTCTTGGATCTCGATATATATGATGTGATTTTTCTACCAGGCGTCTGGGCATGCCTTCACTATTTTTAAATGTCTGTATGTCCTTCTAGATATTGAGTTATAGCCATCAATCTGCAGGAATGGTTTATAGAACTTGAATGAGCTCTGTGGATAATTTTGGGTCTGAGTTTCTAGAATTTCTACACACTTTGAAGTAAGAATAATCACTGTTCTTCCTTCTTTCACTGAAGAATATAAGAGATTCATTAATGGTTCTCAATATGGTTTCTTAATCCACCAGGCAGCCACAAAAATGGCTTGCTGTGGAAAAAGAAAGGTCAGAGGACAATGAAGACCAGACTATGTTTTGGGAAGGTATCATCGTGGACCTTCCCAGCATTCTTCCTCTTTTCTCAAAAGTAAGGTGAAAATTTGGTTGCCTGCCCAGCTAGTGGGGTCTGACCTTTCTGAGCCACACTCATCCTTTTTTAAATTTTTGGGGGCTGGGGATGTGGCTCAAGCGGTAGCACGCTCACCTGGCATGCGTGCGGCCCGGGTTCGATCCTCAGCACCACATACAAACAAAGATGTTGTGTCTGCTGAAAACTTAAAAAATAAATAAATAAATAAATAAATAAAAAATAAATTTTTGGTTCCCCAGGCTCAGGAATTCCTATAAGATTGCAGAGAAGTACCATCAATTTAATAATTTAATCCTCAGACATGGGTTAGGCTGTGGAAGTCAAGGCACCCACTGGGATTTTCAGGCAGCAGTGGCCAGTTGAGCAACAGAGTCAAGCAGAGGACTGCAGGAGTGGAGGCTGGAGAGACTAGGCTCATTTTCCAATCTCTGCCTGATGTGCCCAGATTTCTCTGGAAGAGCCCTGAGAGGGCAATGCCGGCAGAACCTGAGGGCGCAGCTGCAGCAAAACCTTTGTTCAAGTCGTTTCCACAGCCTTTCTCCTGCTCCAAAATGCCTTGGCTTCTTACCTCCTGGGTCGGGCCAGGGCATCCTGTAGGGCCTCGGCTTCCCTGGAGCCTCCCCCTGAAGACAAAGACCTTGGCTGGGTTTTTCTGGGTGGGGGATTCCATGACAGCCTGGGACAGGGTACCCTACTCTCCCAGGGTTGGAAGAAAAAAAGGACAAAGGGTAACCAAGGTTTAATTGAATTTGATTTTCATTTGCAAATGAAATTTACCTGCTCTCACTTTAACTTGGAGGACGCTGTCAGCACTGCTTCCTGGCACTACTTCTTTGCATCTATCCAGCATTAGGATAAACATTCCTTGGTTGGTTTTAAAGACACTTTGTATTTCAGGATATTCATGTGTTTCTAATGTATCCAAGCAGCTTTACGAGCTGCCTTTGCAGAATATCTTAACCCTCTCCCTTCCACCCCAGGGGGACTGGGAGAGCAGAGATAATGGCAAAGGAAGAAAAAAAAATCCAGAAGGAAAGAAAAAAATGACTGAGGGACTGAGGCTCACCAGGAAGGACTGAGAAGGGGAAAATTCTCAAACAGGGTAGGCACTTCTGAATCCTCGCTAGAGCACAGCATTTGGGAAGCAAGCAAGTAGAGGACTACTATGTTCATTCTGGCTTTTTGAGTGTCCTCAGCCCTATCTCCGCTGGGGTGGAAGCTGTACCCTCTTTTCTTAAAGGGAAGGGGCATATAGGTTCTGAAACCTGGGCTAAAGCTGGCCATTGGGTAGGGAAATGGTGCATTGTGAGTCATTCAAGCCTTTGTTCTAGATTTTTGAGCATTTGAAGCAATAATAAGGCCCTGAAATTTCAAGGCTGTGGGGCTAGGTTTGGACTATGGGAAGTCATTTTCCATCCTGGTGACCAAATGCTAACATTTGAAAATAGAAATGTGTGGTTGAGGAAGACCCACACTGATCCCACCTTGCCTTTAAGATCCCCTTGTAGGGTGGATTTTGAGGAAAGCAAGTTTTTGAAGGAGCAGTTCTCCTGTGCATGGGAGGTTTCATCCAGGACCACAAAGCCACTAGGAAAGACCACTTCAGGAAGGACACCACTTTCAACACTGCCCTGTCCTGTCCAGGGAGCCTTTGAGAAAGGAGACAGGCAGCACCTCTTCACTTAAAACAAACAGCCCTGAGTCCCAGACTCCCAGTGCATAGCTGCCACTGCATAGTAGCAGCCAGCAGCACCCGG